ATGCTTTTAAAGATAGGGAGATATGATCAAATAATTATTAGGTTGTTATATATATTAATTATTCTACCAAAGAAATATAATTTTTTTTAAATTTTGAATATTGAATTGACTTTTCAATTGCTATTTTTGAAAAATTATTTAAATTATTTTTCAATTATTTCATCCAATGAAAGTTGAAATATATTAAGATTATTATTATGGTTTAAATTTTAAAATACAAAATAATTGATGTTGAGGGCGTAAGTGTTATTATTTATACTTTTAGGGGTAATTATTACATAGACTATACTTTCGGGGTGCAAAGTGTATTTAACCCAATAAAATATGATCCGATGGTGAAAAGAGAATTATCCAAAACTCATCCGGTTGAAATTAATTTTATGACATGCAGTGTCGGTTCTGACTACAAGATAAAAAGGCAGTAGCCTCGGGCCCCCAATTTTTAGAAACTATATTGGGGCCCCCTATATATAATAATTATAGCATTGAATGATATTTAAAATATATAAGTAGTTAACAATTTGAATAACTATAACTATATTATTTTTCATAGTTTAAGTACAATTTTTTACTTTTATCTTGCACTAGTATTTTGCCTTGTGCGTTGCACGAGCGAATATTGAAAAAGAATATAAGATAAGCAAAATTAGAAATTAGTAAATATATATGAAATGTACAATAGCAAAACAATGGAACACCGAAAATGTAAAAATTCCACTAATTGCAATCATAATCTATATATCTATTTTCAAAATAAAATTTAATACATACATGTGCTATTAAAAAAAAGAGAAAAATTAGTGCTGGGAGGAAAAAAAAGAAAAAGAGAAAAAGAATATAATTAAAAAGAAAAAACAAATGTGAAAAAAATAATTCAAAGTTGATCGTCTTTAGTTGGGAAGGGAAGAAAAAAAGAAAAAAAAAATTAAAAAGTAAAAAATAAGAGAAAATTTAGTGTTGGAAAAGAAAAAGATAATAAAAAAAAGACAAAATATTTAAAAATAAAAAATGTGAAAAAGAAAAAATTGACCGTGTTTAGTGGGAAGCGGAAAAAAAGAAAGAAGAAAAAAAGAAAAAGAAAACAATTAAAAAAACCGTAATATGTTCTATAAAAAAAGAAGAAAAAATAAATAATTATGAATGTGCTATAAAAAAGGAGAAAATAAATGAAATAATTAAAAAAAAAAAAAAAAACTGCTTTTATCATTTCGGAGCAAACCTTTCTTTTATATATAAAGATTTCATGTGAATGAATTCTCACTGATAACCCCTATTTTTTATTCTAAAATCAAAAGGTTTGAGTTTGTAAAATAATAAAAGCACGAAAGACATTTAGTAAAATAAAGAGGGTAAGACTTGGCATAAAGAAATATAATTCATATGGGTTACTTGAAGATTTTGATTGAATTAAAATATTGTAAGTCTTTTGTAAACTAAAATACAATAGCTGACAACGAATATATACTTAGGATTGAGATTGGATTGAGTTGGTCGATTATTGACCTAAACATCGATCCATCCGACAAATCAATTTTCCTTAAATTTGAAAATTATTGTCGACTCTATCTTTTGGGTCGATTGATGGTTGGCAACCGAATATTCCGTTTTGAAATGGGTCGGTTGAAGGATATATATGCCACCTAGTTTGCTTTAAAAACAGTAAAATTTTGAGAAAAATGTATGCACATTCTGCCTAGCGCCACTAGCCATGATCATTTATTAGTTTAAAATAGTTGATAGGAATTCAATAATAAAAAAATAGGGCTAATGGCAAAGAGGCCAATGACAAAGACACTTAATTAAAAAAGAGACATCTAACTTTTTTGTCTTTCAAATATTTTCAATTCATTTAAACTTAGTTGCAATTAAAAAAGGGGCCTTAGGATATAGGTCCCTAGTGACAAAACTTATTAGAACTAAATGACAAGTCCAACTAAATCTTTGTTTCACATTGTTTATAAAATTCATTCCAAAAATGCCCCTCCACTCATAAATTCGAAATATGCATTAAGTAAATTCCAAACTGTATTTATCATTTTATTTATTATGCATTTAATATTTCAAATGTCCATATAAACATTTTTTTTTACATATCTTCCTTTTTTCTTTCTTCATTTTATCATTTTATACATTATTATAAAAACTTCTTTATTCTTTCCTTTTTTTCTACATAATATCGAAAATTAACAAAAAAATAAAAACATTCTATTTTCTTTTTCAATTTACATATTTTTCAATTTGTCTGTAGTAGACTACAATATACTACTGTGTACTACAGTATACTTGGGTGTAGTATACTACGGTGTACTATAGTATACTACAGTATACTATGCTTTACGACCAAACCCTAGCCGCCAACAATTTTCAGCCGCCGCGAACCCTATCAGTTACCGCTCGCAGCCGCCGCGACTGTATCCACCTACCGACTTTGAAAAACCCTAGATCCGCCATATGAACCCAAATCAAGCAATATCTCTTAAAATATAAGAAAATTAGATGTGATTCATTAGTAAAAATATGCTTTCAATAACACCCCAACCATAACCACAACCCCGACCCCCACCACACAACCCCATGTCGCCGCCTCCTCTACCGCACCTCCCCCCGCCGCCGCTGCCATCGCCGCCACCACGCCTCCTGCTGCCGCCGCCTCCACCGCGACGCCCTCCGCGGCCCCTGCTCCTTCTCCCTCCGTCGCCGGCGGCGGCGACGGCCTTCATGCTGCTATTGGGGAGAAAGGAGAAAGAGAGAGAAAAGGAGATCAGAGAAAACGTGAGAGAGACAACGGTGAGAGATCGAGAGAACGTGAGAGATAGAACGGTGAGAGAGAGAGAGAGAACGTGAGAGAGAGAAAACGAAAGGAATAAATCTAAATTGAAGAAACGTGAATGTATAGGTTATATAATTTAGGGTATAAGGGTAAGATAAGTATAAAAAAAAAAATTAGGGATGTGGCTCATATATTATTTCAAACTAAGGATTTAATTAAAATATTGGATTTGAACTTGTCATTTAGTTCAAATTAGGTTTCGTTTGAGGGGCTCATGGCATATTACCCCATTAAAAAAACCTTTTTTATATATACCAAATTACCCTCAATTCCTTTAAACCCAATTCACCTCAATTTTCATGATTTACATCCTACTTTAGCCCATTTTCACAAATTAACCAATTTTGACAATAATTCAAATTTTGACCTCAATTTTGACCCGCCACCACCGGAGACCGCCGGTCAGCCGCCATTGACCGCCGATCTCCAGCGCTGATTTTTTTTTCTTAACAAAATTATTTTAATTAATACTACTGTTTTGATTGCTAAATTACTGTCTCCAACAGTTATTTAACTGTCGGAGACAGTAATTTAAATGTTAATTGACTTTATTTTTTTCTTAAAAATATTATTTTAATTAATATTACTGTCTTGGTTGCTAAATTACTGTCTCCAACAGTAATTTAACTATCGGAGACAGTAATTTAACTGTTAATTATTTTTTTTTCTTAAAAAAAATTATTTTAATTAATATTACTGTCTTGGCTGCTAAATTACTGTCTCCAATAGTAATTTAACTGTCGGAGACAGTAATTTAACTGTTAATTGACTCTTTTTTTTTTTTGAAAGTTTGTTTTTTCTTAAAAAAATTATTTTAATTAATATTACTGTCTTGGATGCTAAAAAGTACTCTCTCCAACTTAACTGTCTGAGACAGTAATTTTACTATATTAATTAATTTTATCGTCTTGGCCTGCAATTTTGTTGTCTTCGACCGTAATATTACTGTCTTCGACCGTAATAATACTGTCTCCGACCGTAATATTATTGTCTCATGCAATAATATTACTGTTTGGGACAGTAATATTAGTAATATTACTGTTTGGGACAATAATATTAGTAATATTACTGTTCGCGAAAGTAATATTCATAATATTACTGTCCCAAACAGTAATATTACTGTCCGAAACAGTAATGTAGCAGCTAAGACTATAATATTAATTAAAATATATTTTTTCGAAACAAGTCTTTCTTACGCACTTCTTTTGATTCATGATTAATTAAGTTGGGATTTAAACAATAAATAATATTATTATTTTCGTTGAAATTTCGATTATAGGCTAGCAGCAGTACTATCCAGGGAGAAGCGGCTTCGATATTCTGCTAATACTAAAAATAGTAGGTTCAGCTTATGGTGAAGGTCTCGAATCTGGTTTCGGCTTCATGCATCTTTTACTTGGTTCAAACTAAAGTTAGTTAGTTGGTTGTCAAGTTTTATTGCTATGTTTATGTTTCCAATTCTTGTACATATAACATGAAAACAAGTTATAGATTATGTTCACTTTTCATATGAAATCTAGATTGTGTTTTGAAAATAAATTTATTTTTAATTTATATTTCCATATATCTATTTTTGTAATTTTTTTAGTTATATAATCATGATATTGAGCCAACCATAAATAAAATATACCTAAAACTATTTAAGGGATTGATCAAAGATAAATCAAACTTGTTTTTCCAAACATGTTTCTATGTATACTGCATGAGTTCAATCTTGGTACTAATACATGAAATAGTGGGAAATAATTAAATACCGAGTGAAATTACATTAATTTTCCGATATTTAATTCATATTATGTAGCATGGTTACATTGTGTACTGTTAATAAAATAGGATTAAAACACTTTACACCCCTAAAGTATACCATATGTAACACGTATCTCCTTAAAATATCATTTGTAACACTTTCAAGCACCAGTTATCAAAAAATACAACATTTACAAATTAAAAAATATTGACATGCTTTGGGTACATATTTAATAAATAAAATGGTAGAAAGTTTTATTTGCACATTAGTTTGTCCAGTGTTCGACCTTCGTTTAAGCACTACTTAATAGTTTTTGTTAAATTTCCATCTATCTTGGAAATATACACCGGTAATTTTTTTGCATAACTCAAAAAATGCAAACTTCTATCACTCATTTAACGTTTTCAAATCTTTCCAAAAAGCATGAATTGGATATTGGAAATTAAGGCGAAAGCGTGCAAGGATGTTCATGGAAAATGTGTAGTTATGTGTTGGGCGATCTGGCATACGAGAAATAAAAGATTGTTCGAAGGCATTTACATGGCAGCTAAGGAAACAGTGAATTTTGCTATTAAATATTGGCATGATTTGTGGAATGCTACAGCAGAAGTGCTGAACTCAAACATTCGAACGAACAGAGGTGCTGTAAGTTGGGTTCGACCGGAAATGAATGTTGTGAAAATAAATTTCGATGCGGCCATAAACAAGGTAGATGGGGTATGTGGGATAGGAGTTATCGCAAGGACGAACTTAGGTGAGTGTGTGGGATGGAACTCTCGCTGCATTAAACAATCTCTGGATCCTACAGCGGCAGAAGCTCAAGCGGCATTCATGGCAGTCGAAATGGCTCGAACAAATAATTGGAGAAGGATTGTAATTGAAGGTGACTCGATGGAGGTTATTTGTGCAGTCTGTGAACCTGCAATTTCCGAAGCTACGAACGGGAATATTATTGAGGATATTAAGCGGAAGAGGGGGTGGTTCGAGCATTTTCAGATACAACACATTTTCAGAGAGGCAAATCAAGTGGCTCATGAAATAGCAGCTTTGTCGAAGCTGGAAAATTATGCTCTTGAGGATCTTCCTGTTACAATATGTAACATTATATCTGCCGAATAGCACGTTGAATAAAATTGCAAGCTTTTTCTTCTCAAAAAAAAAAATCTTTCCAAAATTCTTATGAAATTTGCAAACAATTTTTTTAGTTTTAATTTTGTTTACATATTTGTATTGTCTACCTATAGAGTATTAATAAAAAATCGGGGGCGCTGCCCCTGAACCTTCTAACCTTTGGTCCACCATTTTTATTCAATCTTATTCATATTTTTTGTTATATTCAATTGCGAACACCCTTAGTAAAACTCTTGGATTCGCCATTGCATAAAAATCCCTTTCTTTGCAACTACGTTAGCTAAATTACTAAGCTCCAGATAACAAAAGTTAACTACGACTTTATTGAAGTGATGCAACATATATACTCCAAAAGTTCTCAAGAAGCATCCGCATGCAGTCGTAAGGTGCTTCCTTCTTGCATTCTTAAGAGCCAAGACAATAACGTGGTTAGTAAAATAAAATCGATATTTTGGATAACGGACACAAACCGTTATTGAATGGCTTTTGTGTCAAGAACTATAAATATTTTTGGGTTGTAAGTTGTAACCATGGTTCGCCGGAACGGCCGGGACAAAACGGGAACGGTGCCCTCCATCCCGGAATCCGTAATCAGAACGGTTTTTTCACCGTGATTCACCGAAACGCCGAGAAAACAGTGGGATAAGCGAGACGAAGGCACGGACGACCGCGATGCGATCGGAATGGCGCCGGCACAGGAGAAAATAATTTGAAAAAAAAAAAGACAAGTTTGGCTAATTTGACTAAAAAAATAAGGAAAAAAAACATAAAAGAAAAAAAGAAAATAATGAGATGGTGGTGTCCAAGTTGGAGAATGAAAATTCCCCTGAATTACGATTCACGAATGTTTGGCCTCACTCTTCAATTATAGCTTACACAATTCTACTACTATTATTTTTCTCCTTTTTTTTCTTTTTTGAATAAACAATTATTTGTCTTCACACTCAATAATAGCATAGCCATGCACAGATGTACTCCTATCGGCTGTCACATCTATGTCTCCCAGGGCCGGCCCAAGCCCAAGGCGAGCAAGGCCGTCGCCTTGGGCCTCCGAAAAATATTAGGGCCTCAAATTTTCGTAAATTATCTATATATAAATACATGTACATTTTCATTTATAAGTTTTCTTCAGCTCAGTGGGCAAAAGTAATGCTATTTGGTGGTGGAGGTCAAGCATTCGATCCCTGGTTAAGACAATAATTTTTTTTTTATTTTTTTTTTCTTTTTTTACTCTTATAGGCCAAGGTAATAAAGCCCAAAATATAAATAAGAAAAATATAGGGCTGGCTAAGCTAAATGGCCCAAAATGGTAAGTAAATAATTGAGTTTTTTAAAACAAAATTCTCATATGCTAAAGGGCCCAACTCTTATGGGCCAAGGAAAAGCCCAAAATATAAATAAGAAAAATATAGGGCTGGCTAAGCTAAATGGCCCAAAATGGTAAGTAAATAATTGAGTTTTTTAAAACAAAATTCTCATATGCTAAAGGGCCCAAAATGGTAAGTAAATAACTGAGTTTTTTAAAACAAAATTATCATATTTTGAAACTCTTTAACATAGCATAATACACCACAAAAGACGAATATAATTTGTACGATTGTCGTAAATCTCGATAATTAATTAAATTTGTCTATAATTATCTTTGTTCTTTCATTTTATTCCGTAATTTTTTTTATTGTGTATTTGAATTTAATAATTTGGCTCTTTAGTATTATATTGTACATTTTTTTTAATTTTATAGGTTGAGTATCTCTAACAAAAGTTTGAGTCAGGGATATTAAAAAAAAGGAAATAATCACCAAAATAGCTTTATGCTTAAAAAAAATCTTGCAAAAAATATGTTGAAAATGAAGTTATGGACTCGTGGTTGAAGAATGAGTTGATAAGTTAGAACAAGGTTGGTAATTAAGAGGCCCTCGTTTTCGATTTTCGCCTCGGGCCTCCGGGACCCTGGGACCGGCCCTGATGTCTCCCAGTCCCACTCAATAATAGAACCAATATAATATTATACAGCATGCACTGACTCCAACTTTTATCTTCAATACATAATATATAGAGAGGCATTGGAGATGAACTGGAGAGGCAGATTGCAAAACAGAAAAATATAAACAAAGTTATTAAGAAGAAAAGTTAAGTAATCTTCAGATTTTCTCCTCGTAAAGGTACAAATGTTTATAATTTTTTAGTTTATAATCATATATGTTGCTAAAAGATTGTAGTTTATAATTTATTAGTTATAGTCATAAATTTTTGTAATTTATAATTTAATATAGGTAGTATGAAGAAAGAATAATTTTAAATATTACTAATAATCAATTAGTAATTGGCTCTAATTGTATTTTTCTTCCCACAAGCATGTAGAATGGGTCTAAAACATGATATAGGTTAGGATTTCGGCGATATAGTTGGTGACACTCGAAAAAAAATCAAGTGAATTTTTTTTTTCATGTAGTTACTACAGGTGGAATAACAAGACTAAAACAACATATCTTCTTGGACGTTACAACCATGTTGAAATATAAATATAATAATTAAAAACTTCATAAATAATTGGATGTGTAGTAATTCTAGACACATGAGGAGGACATGTTTTAATCTTGTGATTCCACCTGTAGTAACTACAGACAAAATTTGCACTTGATTTTCTTTCGATTGTCACCAACCATATCGGCGAAATCCCAACCAATATCAGGTTTGGACCCATTCTACATGATTGCGGAAAAATGAGTGCCATTAGAGCCAAACACTAATTAATTATTAGTAATATTTAAAATTATTCTTTCTTCATACTATCTATATTAAATTATAAATTACAAAAACTACATTACTATAGCTAATAAATTATACACTACAATCTTTTAGCAACCTATATAATTATAAACTAAAAAATTATAAACATATCAAATTATAACTTTTACGAATAGATGATCTGATGATTGAACACTTAATGTTTCTTTTTAATGACTTTGTTTATATTTTTCTCCTTTGCTCTCTGCTCTCTAGTGCCTTTCCACTGCCTCTTTATATATTATGTATTGTAGATAAAAGTTGAAGTCAGTGCATGATATATATTTAGATGTGATAGCCGATAGGAGTGCATCTGTGCATGGCTATGCTAATATTGAGTGTGAAGACAAATAATTGTTTATTCAAAAAATAAAAGAAAAGGAGAAAAAGAAGAGTGGTGGAATTGTGTAAGCTATAATTGAAGAAGAGTGAGGCCAAACACTCGTGACTAGTGATTCAAGGGAATCTCCATTCTCCAACGTGGCCATCACCATCTTATTATTTCCTTTTTTTCTTTTATGTTGTTTTTCCTTATTTTTCTAGTCAAATTAGCAAACTGGTATTTTTTTTTTTCAAATTCTTTTCTCCTGTTTCGGCACCGTTCCGACTGCGTAGCTGCTGTTTCGTGGCTCCATCTTGCCCATCCCATCATTTTCTCGGCGTTCCAATGAGTCGCTGTAAAAAAACCATTCTGGTTACGAATTCTGGAACGGAGGGCAACATTCCCATTCCCATTCCGTTCCGGCGAACCATGGTTCCATGACAAGATTCTCATTTGGAATGGGGTTGGAGCAATACTCCGTTTAGAGTGTTGAGCATCAGATTTACACCTCCGTTTTTAGGATGTCAATGGGTTCAAAACTTGGTGAGGGACATTTGGTTGATTGATGGCTATCGGTGTTAGGCGGTATTGGTAGTCCTACTTCTATGAGGATTTGTTGATTGTGAGGATCATAAAGTATAAAAGCCATGGATGTACAGAGAATTCAGAGGAAGAAGATGAAGTAGACGATTCTCATTAAAACTAATCTGATTAGTTACAACGGAAGTTTTCTTAACTATATATACAATTTTTATTTGGGGTTTTTGTGCATAAGTCAACAATCAAGCATCTTTATTATTTTAGGTTTAGGGTTTATATTTCTTTCACCAATAAGTCCATCCATTTAATATTTATTATAAACTAGTAACTTGACCCGTGCGATGCACGGGATTGAACAAACAAACATAACAATCATTAAAACAAACAGAAATAAAAATGTATTGACTATTTAACTGAAAAATCTAATAAAAACTATATATTGAATATTTTACTGGAAAATCTAATAAAAGTATAAAACTCTATCCACCAAAAAATTAATCCGGCCACCAACAGAGTAGTTGTTTTCAACTCTTGAGCATATGTCACCTGCAGCGTAGGACAAAATGAAAGAAAAAATAACTTTTTTATAAATTGAAAATAAATGTTACAAAGCTCATTGATAAAACTTTGAAGACAAATAATCCATATATAAATTTAACCAAATATATAAATAACTTACTTAGTTCAGATTTTGGAAAACTTCTTTATAAACGACGTTTGTAGTAGTATTTGAGGTGTTCCCGTCGTTGTTACAAATAAGTATCTTCAAGCCTCTTCGACTCGTAACTCTTGAGATAGCAAACATATAACTGTCCATGTGAAAACACTGGTTTCTGAAGATATATACCCACGTGTTGAAGAGATTGGCCTTGACTTTTATTTACCGTCATTGCAAACGAAAGAATGATAGGAAATTGTCGACGCTGGAATTTAAAAGGAATCCTGTTATCGGATGGCGTTAGAGTCAATCGTGGAATAAACACCTTATGACCAATGTTGGTTCCTGATATAATTTTCGCTTCCAAGACTCGATTTCCTAATCTTGTGATTGACAGTCGGGTGCCATTGCACAAACCTGAAGATTGGTCTATATTTCTCAACAACATGACCGGAACACCTTCTTTTAGTTTTAATTCGTGATTTGGAAGACCAGAAGAATTAACGGTATTCAAAAACTCGGGCGTATGAATATCATCAGGTCTGTCAATGCTTCCGTTTGCTGAACATGTACTATAAAAACTGAGATATGTCTTCATTTCCTTAGGAACCAACGATAGCATGTAGTCGTTTACCACGTCAACAATCTCATTTGTCGGAGCCAGTATGGCCCTGTGTTGCA